CATTTATGTTAAATATGCGTTGAAGATTCGGTATGGTCTGTTCATAGATATAAGAAAGTGACCAATTGCTTTTCAATGGGATTATCCAAGAGTGGTCATTAACATACAATGCAACAAGATTATTACCTAAAGTTTCGGAATTTAAATTCAGGTAAAATTGTGGTCCGTAATAGAAACTAATTTTATACCTACCTATGTTTAACATTCTTTTTCTTTGGTTAGTTTAAGTTTATTAGTAATCATTCTTATTTCGTGTGTAATACAGCGTGTGTTGAATCGTGTGCGAATTATGCAAAATATGTGCGAATGTAGAAAACACTATTCTATTGAGACTAAGGAAGTTATAAACAATGTTTATTTGACTCCCATTGAACGTGGTGCCAACAAGCAAACATCTTTAGAAGAAACGGCCACATTGACGAAAATCCCAACATTAACTGTATGGAAAATTGTGAATAATCCCATTTCAGCGAGGAAAAAAAGAAGCGATGCTGACATTTTCTCGAGTGTAGATGAAAGGGATCAAGATATAATACGGCGTAAAATTTACCAGTTATACGAAGAACAAAGCGTGCCTACATTAGATATCTTAATTAGGAGGCTTGAAAAAGATGAAACCGGTGTTGAATGTGGCAGAACTACCTTATGGAAGTGTATGCAACACATGGGTTTTAGATTTAAAAAAATTGACAAGAGGGAAGTTTTAATGGAATCTTTTAGAATTCGTAAATGGCGACTGGAATATCTAGAAAAAATTAGGATTTACAGGGAACAATAAAGGCCAATTATTTACTTGGATGAAACCTGGTTTAACACTTATGATACCCCGGAAAAGGGTTGAGTTGACTCAACTGATATGCGTAAAACAAACGCGCCATCAAAAATAGGTAAAAGAATAACTATTTTGCATGCTGGCTCTGAAGGTTGAATTCCAAATGGACTTTCTCTGTCTGCGAAAAATATTAAGGACTCTTCTCTGGATTACTATGAAGACACCACTGCTGACTTATTTGAAAGTTGGTTTAAAAACAAACTAGTTCCAAACATTCCTCCTAATAGCGTAATTGTAATGGACAATACAAGTTATCACAGTAGACAGTTGACTAAAACCCCTTCCTCATGTGACACAAAAGCAACAATCCAAAACTACATGTATAATAACGACATTTATTTTCACGAAGATTATACCAAAAAGCAATTAATTGAGGTTCTACAAAGCTTGAACCTACAAAAGGAATACGTATATGATAATTATGCAAAAAATCTAGGGCTTAAGGCTTCCCCACCTTACCACTGTATATTTAATTAATTTAATTGAACATGTTTGGCACCAACAGAAATCTGCCATTTGTCGTAACAATGCTTTTCCCCGTGTTAACTCCAATGTCCCCAAACTTATAGAAACCGAAGTGTTTAACATCCCTCCACAAAGTTGGGCAAATTCTGTTAAACATATAGAAAAAGCAGAACAATCGATATCCATATTGCAAATAATATAGAACAAATAATAATTAGAACAGCCGATGATAGCGATAGTGATACCGATACTTTATGTGAATAATTTTAAGTAATTTAAGTAGGTAATAAAAATAATTTGTTATTTTGTTTTAGATTTAAACATAAATACATACATAAATAAATAAATATTGTTTAGTATCTTTCCTAACAAAACCTCAAATAATTAAATTCTAAGCAAAGTACGGACCTGTTCAGCCATATTTCATTCTTACAGTTTGCCCTGGTCTTTCCTTAATTCGTATCAGTTAGTCACTTTCTTATATCTATGAACAGACTTTAAAATCTTATGTTTTAAACTCCTACAACATCAACTCAGCAACTATTACGAGCCTTGATAAATCGAATATATCTAAACGATAAAATAAATTGTTTATCAACGGAGAACTGCCCATACCGTTAGGAGAATTTTAAATTTTATAAATTCAGATTTTCGCCTTGTAATGTCACATTTAGAATTAATTAGTCAATCAATCGAAAGCGGACTTCTATGCGCTTTTAATTTATTTCTTCTTGCGATTATGCAATTACTTCGCTTAGCCTTAATGGGACCTTTGTCGCACTTTCAGTTCCGAATTCAATTTCTGTCCAATCGTGGTCTGTATACATAGATTGTAAACAAAACTAAATTATGGCGGGATATTATTATATTATTGCAAAAAATATGCAATAGAAATATAAATGTCATATGAATTCCTTATTTCCAAAAATTGAACTGAGGTGGCTTTTACTTGATGAAAATCCATTTATCAAAATAAATAAGAAGTAAAAGTTCAGATTTTCACGAAATTGTATATTTTTTTACATGACAATTGTTTCGACAATACCGTGTCTTTATCAAATGTCACATTTGATAAGGACACGGTGTTGTCGAAACAATTGTCATGTCATAATATATAATTTCGTGAAAATCTGAACTTTTAGTCCTTATTTCCAATTTCAGATTTGGTTTCTGCTTTGGCATCAATTCATAGCAGAAGAACGAAGAAGAAATGTGGCCGTGGTGCAATTCTACAACATCTTTTGTTTGAAGAATGATACATATGTCGAGCCGCGCACGACACAAGCCGAGCCTGTAGGTAGATTCGCTCGATCACTTTGTGCAGCGAGCAGACTACGCGTCTATTGTAGGGCCAAGAATATAGTGCATTTCTTGCTTCCTTAACCTTCGCAGGACCATGGTAAAAACGAATCCCAACAGGTGTTTATTTTGCATTAAGTAGATCTTGCCTGAAATGGATCGTAACGAAGATTTGTAGAAACTTGAAATTTTTATTTGACACGTAAATGGACCGTTTTAAATTTGATTAAGCATTGATGCTGCGGGGTATTTTCGAATAAGTAAAAGCGTTTATTTTAACATCAGGTGATATGTATCATTTTTTAGAATTCAATCCAAATTGCAATATGTCCGTATATATTACGGAGGTATTTAAATGTGATCCTTTCAGTATGTATCTTATTCTCGAGCTTTGACCCTGGGACGCTGTTTTCACTGGATAGTTCAAAGTACCTGTACTCTATTTATCTTACAGGTAAGTTTGAAAATAACAGCAACAACAGTCTTTTTTAAGACTATAGATTATATTCGCGGTAGATAAAGGTACGTCATAAGAAATGAGACAAAAATTTATTAGAATCTTACATTAAACAATTTATGGAAGGGTCCTGTTTATTAACACTTTTAAATGTAGAGACCGTGGAATCAAGCAGATGTTCCCCTGTTAGAAAAAGAAATGGAGATGGTAGTGAAACCTAATGACAATTTAGAGGACGAACTATCTTTACAAATAAAAAAACGCATCCATTTGAATGTTTACAAATTTATAAGAAATTCAGAAGGAGAAGTAGGAGCAGCAATAAAAACCAGTGCCATAGAACGTAATAAATTGTTATTTTGCACTAATTGTTTTATGTACATGTTTCAAGAATTGCTCTGCGAAAAAGATTGAAAACATACTTATATCCCGCTTGTTAGTGTAGGTAGATAAATTCGTAGGACGGTCCTGGAATGGTTACGGGTAAGGGTCTGCTCGGCAGGGTGTACTATAAGGGGCTGCGGATAAGTAGGCAACATTCATGACGGGATCGGTTGTAAAAGCACTATAATTCTGGTCGAAGTATACTCTGATTCAAGTGACGAAGCGAGCCTACAGCAAACCAAATTACTCAAAATGTTGGTATAATGAAACACATGACATGCAGATTTCGTCACTTTTCTCTCTTCTAATAGCGAAATTATTTTCTTTTTTTTTTTTTCTCTAACGATAGCAGCTATTTCCTTCCAGGCGTCATTTTTTTGGGTTTCTTTGTTTCACTCCATGTTTAATATCTAAAAATTGCTCGTTGGGTTTTTGAAATTCTGACGAGCATACCGCGAACCCGTCCCAATTACGACTGCGACCACACTGCAAGTTTTTGAAATATTGAGATCAAACGATATATTGCTGGAAGGATAAACTGTTCGGAATTTCGAGGTTGTCTTGTTGCAAAGTTATAGATAAGTTTTATGTTTTAGATATAAAAAAACAGCTGTAATTTTAGTACTTTTATAACAGCGAACTAATAATGGGTGGAAAAAACTTCATGTTGCGTTGAGCCGTCAAAATATACAGAGTTGTGTAAAAAAATATTCAACTAATTTGGGAAAGTTACAAATGACACCATCTCAATTTTGATTAAGCAGAAAAGAATTTCGTATAAAACTTATTCAATAAAATTACTCCCAAGAATGAGTCCAGTAAAGTAGGTATCCTCAACTACGTGCAAAATCGAAAGTTATTCGTGAAAACGGCTACTAAATGTATTTTGCATTTTCAGTTTGATCGCAACTTGTGAGATTTTATCATCACACTCCCTATTTGTTCAATTTTGGATTCACTAGGATTCCTAGGCCTACTTTTTCTTTAATTTTAAAAATTTTATCTAGTCATAGCCACGATCAAAAAAACGATGTGACGGGGTTGAAATATTCCAAATTTTGCCTGCATTGAACCAAATTTCAAAACTTTATCTTGAACCGTTTTGGCGTGTTCACCTAGTGTCTTGGGTATTTAGTTTTCAATATTACCCAATTCAGCAGTCGCTTTCCGTCAATATGTTAATGGTTATACAAATGATGGCATACTTACCGTTTTTAGCCAATGCCTCCGATGTAAATTTCGATTACAAAGGTCCACAAACGAAATCAGTCATCGTCGCCGCAATAAATTTCGCTCGTTTCCAATCTATTAAATTCAGGGTAAACGTATCGAATTTTCGAGCGTTTAAACGACGATTTGAGGCGCTCCGTAGAAAGCCCACACGAAAGCAGAGAAAGTCGCGCCCGAGCCGTGGGTGGAAATGGCGCTCGATCTTAATCTTCGACTTTCTCCCGGGCCGATTTTATCTCGGAATTTTCACCAAATTCGTTCCAGTTCCGTTCTTTCACTCTCCGTCTCGACGGAAAAGGTTAAACAGCGAATAAAAACATACGGTATCACTAAGACATGTTTTATTCCGACGACCTCAACGGTTGCTCAAATTTACAAAATCATAAAACACTGACTTGACCGAGATATAATTATTTCATATGTATGCGCGCGCTTTGTAACAGAATTGGTGAAGAATAATGCGTCCGTATTCGTTTCGTCTACTACGCTGATCGGTTGAGGGCAGAACGGATCACGTCCCGAAATTGCGAGCCGGAGACAAACAATTTGGGGGGCGCCCCAAGCGGTGAGTTGGCCCTTTCTTTTCAGGGCCCTAGTACGTTGGGGTTTTGGAGCCGCCGCCCCTCAGTCTCACGGTTTCCTCTCCGACTCGCGCCTATCTCTAAATCAATGAACAATGGTTGCGATACAAGTACGAGAGGACAAAAAATGAGGGGGAGGAAATGGGTTGATCGGTTGGTGATGAAACGGATAATGCTGGTTTTTTATACAAACTGAGATACGCGATATAACACAAACTTATACTCCTACAAATCAAAATTTATCACATATATATATTAACAAATAATATAATAATAAATCTATCGTATATAGGATCGATTGGGTGCTGATGCCAGGTTTTAATCATAAATATCCATTTAGAACTATTTAAATTAATGATTGTTTGAATGTCAACCTAACTAAGGGGGGGGGGGGGGGGAGACGCCGCGGCGCGGGCGGCCCGCCAAAATGTTTGGTCCGCTATATACACGCCGACCGCCCCCGACGCCGACGACGCCACGAACTAGCCTACCACTACAACGCAACATTGGGTCACACACCGACATACAGAGATATAGACAGAGATAGTAAAAGGATGAATATACAACGATATAAATTATTTGGTTTTAATACGATTAAAGTGGCACCAAAATGTCCGAGCGTCTGTCGCTAGCGCACGCACTCCACTTTGTACTTGAACCGTCCGTCTCGACGCCCGCAGCCTTATACCTCCAACGTCACCACCTTGAGGGGGCGGGGCGACGGCGACGGTGACTTCTTCGACAGGTTCAGCGGCTGCTGCGAGTCCGCGATGTCCACCTGGAGCAGTGTCGAATGAGGGCTCGCGGGAGACCTCGACTGCGGCGGCGCGGGCGACGTCGAATGGGGCGACTGCGCGTGCAAGTACAGCCTGTTGTACTCCTGGGGCTGAGGCGAAGGCGTGTGCCCACGCCTCCCCGTCGTCGTGATGACGCTGGTCGCCCACGCGGGCTGCAGCAGGCCGCTCTTATACGGACAGGCGGTCGGTGCCGCCGTCACCATCGGCGACGGTTGCGGGGCCGCCTCCCCGCGCATTATGTAACTGTGGATCACTTCGGTGTTCTTCATTTGCTCGGCCGTCATCCGCGGACCTTCCATCAGGCTTTTCGCCAACATCGAATGAGACGTGGACAACGAGGACTGCGGCGGCGACGACAGCTGCATTTGCAACTGGGACTGCTGCGCGGGCTGGGCGGGTTCCGCCTCCGCCGAATCCTTGTTCCTCAACGCCCTGAACTTTTTATGGGGCTTGTACGCCTCGTCCATCAACGAGTTGGTATCGTAAAGCGGAGGGGCTTGCAGCACACGTTTCAACACCGGCATATCTTCGACGATGTGGTGGTCTTCCACCGACGATCGCGGACTCGAGCATACCGACGTTGGTTTATCGACTTTCTCCGTTCCGGACTCGATGCCCGAATCGCTCGGGGAGTCCAACTTGCGAAACCTCGAGTGCGTCGGCGGCGGTCTCGACACGGGAGTTATTGTGAGACCGTTGTGTATTAGGTGTGATGTAGCGGCCAATTCGTCGTCGCCCGAGGACGTCGATCCGGAATTGGCCCTGTGTCTATGGGGGCACAGGCTGCCCGAGAGCGTCGCGGCCAACAGGGGGGCGTTGGTCGGATGGTGCGTCGCGTGGTGGTGGTTATCGTTTGAGATCATTTCGGAGGAACACATCGATTCCGTGCTGGATACGGAGCCTAGTGGCGATTTGGCCTCGTCCATCGTGACGTCCGACGAAGACGACCACGACAACGCGGCCGGACTCTTACTACTGCTCTCCTCCTCGGAGTTCCACAGATGATGGTGCTGCTGCTGTTGCATCATCTGCTGCTGCTCCGTCATTTTGAACGCGAGCAATTTTTCCGAGTGCAGCGTGTTCAACGTGCGCAAATCGGGCACTTTTTTCATCAGCTCATCCAAAATGTGGTGCTGGCACGGGTGATTCTGCGTCACCACGATCTGCAACGCCGCCTTCAGCTTGTTGTGCATTTTCTCGATCAACTCGACGTTTCTCAGACCGGGTCGATCGGCGGCGATGACCACCACCGAGCAAAACAGACCGATCTCCGCGTCCGACAACCGTAACGAATTCATACGCTCGGCGAAATCGAACATACTGTCCATTAGGAACCGCGCGTTCGAGCTATTATGGATAGAGTCCCGTTTGAGCACTTGCCCGTTCAAACAGATCATGCTCGCGGTTTGAGCGTCGAACATGCACGCGAGACGCACCAGCAACACTTCGAAAACACCGGCCTTGAGCAGGGTCACCTGGTCGTCTTGTGACAGAAGAGAGAACCCCGGTATGCGTTTGGCGAACTCGACTACTCCCCGAATCGCGGGCGAAAAGCGCTTGGAGAAGTCTTGGAGCAGCTCCTGTTGTCCGGTTAACGGTTGGGGGTTCGGATTTAGCGGACAAGCCTGAAACAATAAGAGAAATGCATTTAGAGGATGATTCGTCAGTTTATCGAGTAATTTTAATCAAAATGCCCGAATACGAACGATTTGTCGAAATTGTCAACCATATAAAACCAAATGGCAATATCCCAAATAACGATAGCTTTTTTAACTAAAAAACATTTTAGGAGCAATTGAACCTATTTCAGAATTATCCTCGAAAAGAACCATTCATGGTTCATTTTAATTCTGACAGCAAAGGAGTCAATTCCACATCAGCTGGTAGTGATTAAAAATAATCAAATATGGTGAAAGAAAAATTTAAAAAAACGGGAAAAAACGCAACTTAAGTTTGTCCAAATAAATAACTTAATATCGTTTAGTTAGTAACTTAGACATATTAACTGTGACTGTTTTTAATAGACAATTACTAAAAAAATTATATACAAAGTTCATTTCAACCAGAAATTGATTGATATCGACCTAAAAAAAACGAAATATCAAAGATATGTGCCACAATATTTCAGGCGAATTCAAGATCGAACAGAACCCCGATAGTTATACTACTTACGCAGGATTATGTCCATTTTTTAGTCGATTGAAACTTACTTGAAAGTAAGATGTTTTTGGTAGAGAACTTCAAGTCTGAATTAATTTAACCTACAGAAATTAATGAAAAAAAAAAAACGATTTTAGTTGGGAGGTTTTTCTGACTGAGAGGAAATTTAGACGAATTTCGTTGAAAATAGTAAGTTAGGACAGCAAAGAAGAATGTTGTTTAGAAAACTTCGGGTTCTGGATACCTAACTAGGGAAATAATTGGAAACACTCATTTTGATCGAAACTTGTTCCAAAAATGTGATTATACGTGTTTCAAGTGTTAGTTACAACATTGCTTGCAGCTTAGAATTTCGAATTTCTTGTTCGCTTCGAACTACAGGAAACGACAATCTGGCGACCCAAGTGCGCCACGATTTCGATTCCCTTGACGTTGCGACCATTAAAACGCTCCCATGCCGAAACGAAACGACTTCCCGATCCCCGTAGATAAGTTTCAAAGTCGAAACTTGACCGCGTCGTATCGAAAACGATAATTTTAAATTGCCTGAGTGACCTCTCCGCTTTTTCGACGGGTGTCATCGTGTGGTACGTTCAAGTGCGTGAGCGCTAACCTCGTACCCCGCGGTGGGTGCTCGCACGGGTACAACAGAGACGACAACACACCAAGGGAACCTTGGACGTTTCCGCCTGTCCCCCCCGCGCGGACAAGGCCGACCAGTCTGGCTTCCACTGACGCGGACATTTTGTCGTTCAGGGTTTACTTTTTCAGCCCCATTTCCGCCCGCGTGTGGCGACCAACGACCACCGGAGACACGCAAGGGTACTCACCAGAGTCGGGGGGCACGCGGTGTAGGAGGGCTGTTCCCTAGCGCGTTGGAGCATCGGCTCGACTTTGTCGCGGGTGAAGTCGCACGTGTCCACGTGGGCTCGCACCACCGTCGTCAGAAGTCTTTGCTCGTCGTCCAATTCGGCTGCGACCGCTTTCTCTATCGAACGAGAGTTGGAGCTCTGTTGCATGGCCGCCAGGATACGGGCCTTTTCCCTTTTCGGGACGCGTCCAAATCTGACGGCTGCAACAATCAAAAAAAACTCGTTTATTTTCGAATTCATCGCAAAGAAGTTGTGGGGAGCGTCTAATTAAAAATTTGATAGATAAAATTTATCAGGTACCAGAATTTTCTGAAAGTACCATCATTTAAATGGTAACAAAAATAAAAATTAAAAACTTTATTACCATACTACCTTCTAAGCAAAAAACTTTTAAAAGAAAATCAATCGAATAATAAATAATATTTCTTATGCAAACAAAGTAGGAACAAAAACACATAATTTATCTTATACAGAAGAACAAAAAGTAACGAAACATTAACAAAATTACGATGGTGAGAATATCTAGAGATTAATTACAAATATACCTACAAGAATGGTTTGTGATTTTATTATTTGAATTTTGAAATTTGAATTGAAATTTTAACTGATATTTAATTGAATTAAATTTTGTTTAGTTTAATGGAAGTTTTTTTACATTTATATAACGTGGGCTGCCAAATGACCTTTTTTATTTTATATTTTAATTATGTCACGATTAGTTATAGTTTTTCCTAACCAAATTCGCCAGTTTTCGTATTTAATCCTAAATATGACAACAACGCACGAGGCAAAATGTCTAAATTAGCTGCATTTTATTATTACGTAGTAATTTAATGCCTGACAGGTTCAAAAAACCTGCAATAAAAACGACCCACAAGCCTGGGAAAGAAGAAGGATGTTCCCAAAAAAAATTGGAAAGTATTGGTGGTAGCTTGTACCGACTTTTTGCGAAAGCTACTACGATTATGGCAACCCGCACGAATAACTTAGCCCAAAAGGTCTTATCGCGCGCCATTGGCAACGCGTATAAAAGTTTGACGTCATTCGTTTCGATGACGTGGAAGATTTTTTAACTGCGCGAGTACCAAGGCTGGAGACATCACGCATATTTGAGCCAAGACAAAGAAAAAAAATAGATTAGAACTTTTTTAATGCGCATTTAATAAAATTTCGAATCAAATAAGTAGGTAGTTAAAATCACTACTTCGATACAGTTTTATACACTTCTGTTTTCTATTCATAACAGAAATAAAAATAATGTACGCTTCATTACAATCATATTTTATAAAAATTAAAGACAAATAAGCAATTTTAGCTTAAAAAAATTAGAGAGATAGTTATATACTTGGTTTCAACACATTTCAAAAAATATAAGCGACAACCGTTAGCGACGCTTGAAAACAGAAACCTAAAATTGACAAAGACGACATCAAATACAGTAAACAAAAACAAAAAATATTTAACTTTCGATATCTAGGCGAGATGTTTACTTGTGTTCGAATGACATTTTCTCACGGCTGAATAAATTGTACAACCCTTGGGAGGACGCAGACGGAAAAAAAAACGCCGATTCAAACCTATACAGTCAAGTCGTAAATCTGGCGAATCCGAGCGGAGAAAGTGTATGCGAGCAGACTTGACACAATGAGCGCGAGAGAAATTGAATTGCTTTCACATTCGAAGAAAGTGTCCTCTCCACGCGAGCGATAAAAAAAGAAGAAAAAAAAAAGCAGCCACCCGAGGTGACGGCGGCACCTACGTGCGTTGTGATAGTTGACGACTCCGTTTAAAATCCCTTTGAGTATCGGTAACTCCTCGGCCATTTTGCACTTGCCGTTGTCACTTTCACCGGTAAATAGATGCGGGCGGCACGACGGCACTACGACATGCGACGACGAAACCGCGTGACGAACGACCGGGCTGCTTGCGATTAACGCGCGACCTGGCATTCCCGCTATACGTCGTAATTTGCGTGTGTCTGTGAGTGACTTGCTTCGCGTACCGGCGTCACAGTGCTAATGGCGGGAACGGGTGTCGCGAGCCGCCGAAAACATCAACCAGCGAGAGCCCTCCCCTCCCGGCGCCGCCCCACCACCGTTCCCCTCCATCACCCTTGAACTTGAGAATCGCTCTGCGCTTGCCGACGACGCTCCTGCTCGAGTGCCCGATAGCTCGAGGTAGGACGGCGTCAAGGTCGTCATCGGGCGGCCGCCTACGATCTCCTCCGCGCGCGCCGCCGCCGCCGCGCCTTTGTTTTTCGCTTGCGTAACTTCGCTTGCGATTTTTCGCTATCGGATTTTTCTCCCGACGAAATACGAGTTTTTTTTTGAGATAAGCGCGACCTCCGAGGCGCGAAAATAATTTCATCTACGTCGAAGGACCTCGGGGAGATGTAGAATGTAAAGGTCTGTTTTCTCGTTCGCCGTGATGGCGTTTTATTTTTAAATTTTTTTTTTTCGGGAGTTGGGAAATTTCTAGACACCGGGCGCCCGACCGTCTTCCGTCCTCTGTTCTCTATCCGCCGAAATAATTTTACATAGACGCACTAATAAATGGAACTAGTTCGAAAATAACTTAACTATATTTACCAAATGAATGGAAAACGTTTGCAAATGTTACATTTTTAAGTCGATCTGAATATTTATTGCCTTTTTTGATAGATTTTGTACATTGTCGATGAGTTCGCCGTCACTTAAAAATTATTTAATCAGTCGCATAATTTTAGTTAGTTTGAATGGTATATAGTTATTATATATATGTAATAATTTATTTATATTAATAGTCGTTTTGGAAACGCTATATTTTATTTCGGGATCGACATTCGCCAATTTTTTATTTTCCCATGCGGTTCTGCGGTTTCCCCCAATCCCAATTAAATCGCTTTTTTAATTTTTTTGTTTTTTCTTTAAATTTTTATTAACGAAACAGATTTTGTAGTACGGTTAGTAAATAAATAAATTACTTTTTTTAATTTTGAATGCATTTTCCGTGATTGTGATACATGACAATTAAATAAGAACATAAATACTAAAAAATGAAAATTTTTTCCTTAACAATGAATGAAACTTTCTTCCTTCTTTAATATTTTCTTTAAAAAATTCCCTAATAATTTATGTTTGGATTACCACAGGGGCCAAAACGATTGCAAATATAAAATGTTTATTGCAAATGTGCCATTTCCGGCCCGTAATTTCAATAATCATAAAAATAATTTCCGAAAAGCATAAAAAAATTGGCAATTTTAAAACGCGGGTTTGATTAAGAAAATCCTGCAAAACGAAAAAAAAAAGAACTTACGATGATTATATTTAAAAAAAAATGTTTTCTATAAGAAAATAAAAAAAATGTCAAGAGCAAAACGCCTAATATCTTTTTTTATGATACATCTTAAAATCTTATCAGTTAAACGAGAATCTTAAAATTTAATGTGACACCTAAAAATACGGGTACGTCAAGCCAATCAGCGTAAGCGTATTTCCACGTCGACGCTCCTGAGCGGATTGAACTGAATCGAGGAGTTGATTATACGCGCTCTAGTTCAGGTGTTCGGCACCGGGCGCCGCCACCTACACGATTTCGGTTCGGCGCCCGCGGCTACATGATGCGCTCATCGTGCAGCGTTGCCGGATAACGTGCGGATTTTCCTCAACCGCGGGAAATATTATTAATTAGTTAACGACTTGGGTTACTTAGGTTTACTGCAGTGACAAATAACCGAAAGTTAGTGGGTTTTACGCGTTTTCCATATGAGATTTAAAATATAATTAGTACATAAAATTATGTATTAGTGAGTTAGAAAGATCGCCCGCTTTATTGGTAACATATTTTTTTGATTTCTCATCTAGAGAATTATATTATTGTCTACGATCTGAAATAGAGAGCATTCAGAGTGGGACTCTGTAACTATTTGATAATAAAATGACCCAACGGGGGTAAAAATTGATGCGCCTCAAGCGGCATTAACATTTTTGTAGAGAAAGTAATGATTTTCTGCACTCCTCTTCCCAGAACAATTTAAACGCTACATAAAAAATTGCCAGCGGCCATGTTGATTGTTGAAAACGAGATTTTAAATCTGGAGCATGCGCGGGTTGAATGGACCTTCTCAAACATTTTTTCCTATTTGCTTCAAAAGTGCCTGTATTATCGGAATAGACAGGGCCTCTATATCTGAAGCTCTCTCTCTATATATCTGTAGAAATAATATTAAAGATCATCTGTTACCGTATTTCTGACATTTAATAAACGTTGGACAAAGACACAATACATATCTTTTCCAAACCAACAAATACGGTGGTGGCTGATTTAAGAAGAAAATAAGAAGCAACGATTAACTAACTTTTCTACATGCGTCTTTAGGATTTAGTGCACATCAAATGTTGTATAGTTACTACAATGCCAATGAATAGACCGATTATTCAATGAAGTGACTTGAGTTATGCAATGGTATGATGAGAGATTCAAAGATAAAAGCTTAAAGCAAAATGAGGGTGATAGAAATGAATGAAATCTTTGAGAGCAACCGGTAATAAATTTATTATTTTATTTCACTAAAGCAAAGACAATAATAGAATAATAGTATGCTTAAGTTTGTTTCAGAAATTAGAAAATGCAATTAAATTTAAATATTTGCAGATTCCAGCCTGCTTGTATACTTATATAAATGCAACAATATGAGAGTTGTATAAATATTTTGTTTCTGCTTAATCCTTTAAAACTGCTAAAATAATTCATTGCATCCACTAGGTTACATTGAAAACGTAAAATCACTAACAAACTTTGTTGTTCGATTCAAGTCGGGCTAATTAATAAGAAATTATTAATACGGGCATATTAATTGGGTTTCAAAGCAGTCCTTATTTTGCAATTTTGTAGATATTGTTAACATCATTGTAAATTTATAAATATAAATAGATAATCTATTATCGAAGCTTGCGACGTACGTAGAGGGCGCTTTTGGCAGGCCGATCGCGATCGGAACTGAAACGGGAAACTCGGAAACGCTATCTTCGAGCGTGATCTGTCGCAAATTTCTCCTCCATATACTATTACATAGAAAAACAACAACAATCCGCGTTACGAAACGCCATACCAAACTTTCTCCCTAATCGTATGGTACCGATTAGAGAGAAATGGCTTTCGTTGGTCGAGGAGGGAGAGAGAGAAAGAGTCCGCCGTGTACTTTCTCCACGACATTATAGTAAAAGTGATTAGATTTTTTTGCCTTGCTTTACGCAACGCGACGAGGGATGGACTTATTGGCGAACGAAAGTGCGAAAAGTGGCACGACGATCTCTCGAACCGCGTCGTCGACCTCAACCAACTTAAGCGTGTTGCGCAAGCTGCGTGTCTCTACGGTTGCGATATTACACCTCTACGTGGTGGCAGGAGTGGGCAATAATACTTTCCAATGGGTATTGCGAGCGGGGTTACAATGACCCACTCGCGTCTGAGGTCGTTCAACTCTCGCGCGCGGCCGCAAGCGATGAACTTTCTCGATTTGCGAGCTGCTCCGAACGGTCGTTCACCCCTCGGGGGGACCTGGACGACCTATATTTCGGGCGCGGGGATCTAACGATTCGTGCGGGGTCGTCGGAAGTTCGGGGGAGGCCGGGAAACTATTGCGCGATTCGTTCGGTGCCTTTGTTCGCGCGAAAAAGTGCTCCTTCCTCCCTTTTATGCACATTTTGCCATAGGATTTATCGGTCGTTTCGAATAAAACTAAAAAAAGATGATGTTGACTTGAGTTAAACGATTTCGTGTGTTTTACGAGTTGCCAACCTTCCCAATTTAGGCCTCCCACTTTTAGACAAATAAAAAAATATTAATTACAAACATCCTCTATTTTTTGATTAAATTAAAAAAATGTATTATACCGGCTCATTACCTTTTTTTCCATAGGAATTTTGTAATAGGTACAATGTTTGGCTGAAGGTTTTGTTTTTTTTTTGTATTGAGTGTATTTCGTGCTTAGTTTAATGTTTTAAAAATAAAATTATATTTCGCTTTTGTTTTTTTTAAATATCTATTCGTTTTTTCCTGGAAAAATATATTGAAGATTTATTAAACGGCCATAAAGTTGTATTATTATCTCATAAAATGTTCATGCTTTTTATTTATTTTCCCGTCGAAAGCCTTCCCACGTGCATGTGTAGTTGATGAAAAGTTAGGTCGATTAAAACAGACGAATAGTTTGTTCCCTAACAGTGCAAGTGAAATTTGATTTTTCTAAGTACCTACACGATATTAGAAAACTAATATAAAGTTCCTTCGCTTAATTTCTCGATGGTAAATTGCAAAATTTTACGTCAAATTATTCGCAACATTCTTTTCATTGGGGTGAAGTTATGCAATGCCATTACGCAGATACAACATGGACTTCTGGAGAAATTTTCACTGTGGTTTTCGAGCAAAATCACCTTGATTAGTGATTTTTTATAAATGTTGATTCTCGTGCAAGGTTTCCGGTACTTCTTAATAGTTGAGAAAATACAAAATACTAAGCTTTGCAAAATAAATGGTTTACTCTAGTAATTTGAATTAACTTTTTATAAGACTTCTGGATTCCTCCTGCGTCCGTTTTTGTTGAGTCGAACTTGCTACCGTTTCGCCAACCATCCTGTTCGACTCAATAAAAACTGACGCAGGAGGAATCCAGAAGTTTTATAAAAAGTATTACAGTAGCCTGTGGAAGTTTCTTTGAAAAATTCAATAAAGCTTATTAGCTTTTCAACACGAAACAAATGCTCTATAACTAACCGAACTGAGAGTCGGCTGCGTTACGAATCACCCATTACCCAAACAACGAATTGTCCACTTGTTTATAGGTAATCTCTGTAGCGAAATGAGGTAACAATCATTTTGCCGCAACTTTTGATGATTGACTGATAGTGACAAAGGTGAACCGCTGCTAGCCTAAACGGACATTAGAGTAAACTTGGGACACTTACCGTCTCGGGACATGCCGACCGCGATGCACTTTTTCAAGCGACAGTACTGGCACCGATTCCTGTTGATTCGCAATATCGAACATTGCTGGTTCTTGGTGCACGGCCTGTATTGGATTTTCTGCTGGATGCTGCGCCTGAAGAAGCCCTGCGAACAACAATCTTTCCGTGAGCAATCGTCGCCCGAGTCGCACCCCGAACTGTTGCCGCTACTATCGTCTGCACTAGAGCCGCAGGCTTTACTATCCGACACTAAAGACTCGGTGGTACAATTCAACACAGCCATCATAGTCACTAATTTCAACAGTGTAACATTAAATATCCTTTTCGCGTTTGCGAGAGATCTCTCTCTCTCTCTCTCTCTCTCTCTTTTTCTCACGATCACAGTGAGCAGTCAAAAAAATTGTGTGATCTGTGTGATCGGTTAAGCACGTCCAATCGTTGGCGAATTCGACGAACGACTGAGGCCTGGTAGCGAATAAGCAGAGTTCGCGGTAGGCTGTTAACCAGTTGACCCAGTTCCCGGTTGACGACCCGCCGAACGAAGTAAACTCGCGAGGCCAGTTCACTGTGTGAAAGTGAGAGTAGTGTATACGGACGGTGGTCTCTCTCTCTCTCTCGAGCGCGCGCGAGCCCGCGATTACTATAGCACGGGTGCGACGAGGACGGCGGCACGTGGTTTCGTCACTTTACCGCGCGTTTGTATACGTTTTTAGCTGTGTACGGTAGTCGATCAAGTAATACATATATCTAGATTTTTTTTCGCGAATGCTGGGCGCTATCGTGTTTTTTTTTTCTGTTTTTCTGACGGGACGCCCGCCCCTGCGTTAATTGTCCGAATTCGAGATGCGGGGCATGCGCGTCAGCAGTGGGTCGATGACCGCGCGACACAACGAAACTGGCTCAAATCATAATCGCGAACGAAACGAAAATGCTTTATAAGTAGCGGCTGTTTAATACGGCGGCGGGTGGGTTTTAATTATAGTGTCACTCTGCATTATTAATAATTTACTGAATTAGATATGACAGACAGTTATTGCACGACCAAAAATATAGTGCATTTATTGCTTTGACGTTTTAAGTATTTTACAGTACGTTAATCCCGGACCTTCGCATGAAATTTTTATTTAAAATGTAAATATACCGTTTTAAATTTGATTGAGCACTCATGCTGCGAGGTTTTTTCGAATAAGTAAAAGCGTTTATTTTAACATCAGGTCATATGTATCGTTCTTAAGAGTTTAATCTAAATTGCAATATGTTCGTATCTATTACAGAGGTATTTGCCTGTGATTCTTCCAGTAAGTACGTATTTATGTACCTGATTCTCGAGCTTTGACCCTGCGAGGCTGTTTTCATCGGATAATTCAAAGGGTAAGTATGGGTAAGTGCCTAGACTCTATTTATCTTACAGGTAAGTTTGAAAATAATCATTTTTGTCTTTGTATGATTAACAACATTCTTCTTCTTGTGTTATTTTGTTAGTTTTTTTTTTAAGATTATAGACTATATTCGCGGTAGAGAAAGGTACGTCAGATAAATATTTATCAGAACCTTACAATTAAACATTTTTGAAGGTTTCTGTGTTTTAACATTTTAAAATGTGGAGACCGTGGAATGAAGCAGATGTTCCCCTGTTAGAAGAAGACAGAAGACGAAATGGTGATATGAAATTCAGAAGGGGAACTAGGAGCAGAAATAAAAACAAGTGACATAGAACATAATAAATTGTTACGTCGTGCTAATTTTTTTATGTACATGTTCCAAAAAGATTGAAAACATACTTATATCCCGCTTGTTAATGTAGGTAAATAAATTCCTAGGCCGGTCCTGCAATGGTTACGGGTAAGGATCTGCTCGGCAGGGTGTTCTATAAAGGGCTGGAGTAATAACAAGCAAAAATAAAAAGTGGAAAAAATTGTCAACTAAAACTTGATAATAACTTTTTCTACCCGACTTTCGCCGAAATTTTTAATATAAGGATCCTTGACATTTTATGTTTTCCAGTGGCAAGTAGAGTTCTCCAAACTATATACCGTTTTTACGACATAATCCGGTATTTAACTTTGGTAAATGTTTATGAAGATCTAACAGCAGGAATTAGGTTTTTCTTGTTTATTATTAGTCTTCTTCATTCTTACTTTAAAATGTCTATTATAAATATAAAAATATAAATATAAATGAAGCAAACTGGGAAAACATCCATTATAAGTCAATTATCTGCCTATGATTTTGCATTGCTTTCCCAGGAATATATTTTAGAGTCGTTATGTTAAACCCCTTAATTGGAAATCAGTTTAAGCTTTCTAATGTGTGTGGGGATCAACCTACCTAATGGGCAAATGCAAATTGGAAGATTTATAAAAAACACACTAATAATAATAATAAAATAATATAACAGTTTAATCAAAGAGAATTTCACTACTCTTAAAAAACACCAGTCCGCACGGCACAATTCTTGTTATCCAACGGTCCATCCAAATACGGTCCTGGCTTGTGGTACACAGGCGGGTCTTAAACTGATTCCGATGTCAAAACCATAAAAGGTTGTAAAAACGGTATAACGTTTGGAGAACTCTACTAGAGATAGTACAGATTGGTAAAATTGTATTTTTGTCACCAGTATGACAATTCTTAAATTATGCATTTGAAATTTGATAATTTTAAGTTCCAATTGTTATGTTACCGTTGAATGCGAATCACGCATCATATCTAATGTCCAACAGGTTGCAAAATAAAATTGAATTGTTAAGTTGAACGTTTAGTTTTTCTTGAAAACAACAAAGCTTAATTCGAAAACCAATATTCGCTTTCAAATGACACAATGTATGTTGTCTGTCTGTCTTCATTTATCTTGTTGGTTGATGTCGCTTTAAGTGGTTGTTATAAATATTATTACTGAATTGATATAGAGAGTAGTTCTTCCCTCGAACTGAAAAAAAGGCTTGTGTATTTTGTCTAACTTGTGTGTAACTGTGTGTGTGTGTGTGTGTGTGTGTGTGTGTGTTGGAACTATACTAAAAAAACTTCATATGAACGTACGTCCTAAACGTAACTTTTGTTTTTTTGGTTTATATTTGTTTATCATTAGTCTAAGGGAATGAGGAAATAAATACAGTGGAGGAAAATTAACCAAAATCATATTTTCCCAGTCAAGCTCTGAAGAAGCCAAAGAAGCCAACAGGATGATTGGCGAAACGTCAGCAATTTCGACTAAGCAAAAACCGATGCAGGAGGAATCCACAAGTTTTGTAAAAAGCATTACAGTAGCCTGTAGAAGTTTCTTTGAAAAATTACCATATTTTCTCGCATTTACACTGTACCTCGTACAACTTCATCGACACTTGGTATATAGAAAATAATAATTAGTCTGTAACCCGTCTTTCGTCTTTTTAAAGAAAAAGAGTAAGCGGCACGGCTTCCCGAGTTACCCACGTCTTTTACGTCTTTTTCGTCTAACCGCCTAATACCTAAGACCAGTGGTCAAGCGTCGTCATCTACTTTTAACTTTTCGTCGGTAAACATCAAAAACTAGTCCCGAACTCCAAACCTTTCTATAATTACATGTAGAAATAAGAAACAAAGCAATACTGTGTGGACTAAAACTAAACTACATTATTATATACACGATGTAGAAGAAAAACTAAAAATAATGATGCGTAGACGTAGAACACACATCTGTCAAATTTCACAAAAAAAATGTCCAGAACAGTTTCTTAGAAAATATTGAAAACTTGTATTACACCGTGTAAAGTTAAGACGTTTGTCGCAAACTTTCATATGACATTTTTTCTTAAAATCAATTCAAGATATTTTATCAATTATCTAGCTTCCACGTTAATAAACTTTCAAGATGGTTCAGCGAAATGGTCGTACATCATTGCACAAGAAAAAATAACGGGTCCGTCCCCATAAGTCGGGGCACGCGACGTCAACGCAAAAAAAAAACAACGACGTCGAACCCATTTAAACGAAAATAGAACGTCGAAGGTTGCCACACAACCGCTTTACTAGGTATCTCCACGTCGGTTACCCAATCCCAGCTAGTAGCGCGCATAAATTTATTTATCGAATTTCGGTATAAATAACGAGGTCAGAACAACGAACTATTCACGAAGCGGGGCGACGACATCCAATTAGGTCGAGCTTCGGCGTTATCTCGCGTTCTTGCTCGCACCTCGACAAACCCATTCTTACTAAAGCGGCCCATTTTTGCCAGCTATTTACCACAACAATAACAATAACGTAACGCGACGTAGGTGATTCGGGGTCGAAACGTGTTATGGGCGGCCCGGGGCCGTTGACCCCCTACTCCCTTCACCCCACCTTCCGGGACGATGCAACGAAAAATCGACCGGTCAAAGAACTCTTCTCTCGCAGTCCGAATATGGGTTCCCCGAACGGTTGATGACGTCATCTGGAACTGTCACTCTTACGTCACCGCGGAGCGGGCCGGAGTCAATGCACCCGCACCAAGGCATACCTAGGTGATGCGCGGAAAGTCCACGTATACCCGCGGTGTATGGGTTTCGGATGACGACACACCACGGCGATGGCGGGAAAACGCACGTACACATCGGGAATTCCATTCATCAATCAATACGGTTCGGCTGGAGAACGTTTTTTTTTGGAAATAAATACGACGCTCATCCATTTTTTACACACTTGCTTGCACATTTTATCACCGACCGATCACTATCAACTTTAATATTCTAAATAGCACTTTATTTTGTACTGCCTACTACTCAGATGCTAACACAATCTTATAACGTTTGTTTATAGAAATTTAGGAATATAAGTTTTTTCTATTGAAACGACAGCAAAAATTTGGGAAAATCCGAAACGATGCTAAAAAGCCTAAACAAAATTAATTGAAAAAATGGTGGCTTACGACAAAATATTTATTCTGCAAGCAAATTTTCAGAAATAGGAAATACAAAATAGAAAAGGGGAGGAATCTTAAAACCAAAGTAATAACGAATGCAGTGCATGTTGTAGTGGAGAGTTTATTGTTATAAGTTAGGTTAAGGAGATTGAACCGATAATTTAATCACAATCGTAATAGTATCAGAGAAGTAAACATATCCGTAAGCAGAAACTCAATGTACGTACTATAACAAAAAATTAGCTCCAATCCGAATTACCGTT